TTAAGCCAACTCCTGTGTGTGTGCTGCCGGAGGGAGGCTTGAGTTCTGCCTCTCTGGGATCTTAGCCATGAGGGCGTTAAGAGCTGTCCAGACATGCAGCCATCATTGCCAGCCTCCTATAAACGTGGGCTACAGATCTGGTGTGGGAAAAGGAGCTCACAAGAGCGCTTGCTTCCTGCCCTCACAGCTAGCTGCCCATGTTCCGGGTCTGCAGTTTTCCTTGCGCCGAGCAGGAAAGTTGTTCCAGCCAGGTGGAGCAGGTTAACCTCAGCAACTTTGGTGATGGTGCAGGAGGACTGAAAAGGGCAGCCTAGTCAACTTGGTAAGACCCTGTCTCAAAATAAAAGCTTACCAAAATAAAGAAAAAAGAAAACCCAGAGCTTAGTGGTATGCACCCTTAACGCCAGCACTTGGAAGGCAGAGGCAGGTTGATTTCTGTGGTTTAAGGCCAGACAGGTTGCTCAGGTTCAAAGGTGATTTGTTCATGTTCTGGGCATGTCTGTATGTCTCTTTGGATCTCATTGTGTAGCCCAGGCTAGCCTCAAAGTCACCATCCTCCTGCTTTACACACCCGCCCTCCACGTGCTGGGATTTCAGATGCGCACCACCACGTCTGGCTTTGTCCCCGTTTTAAACCGTTCTCTGTTCCACCATGAAAGGTTTCCACACTGGGAGGATGCTCTGCTTGACAGGGTAGCTTACTTTCACAGAGGAGGCTAATGCCCTCTGGAATGGAAAAGCAGCGTTCCCTCTCTAGCCAGCTCCTGGTTCTGAGCAGCTGTTTTTGTGTGGGGCCTGTGTAATCCCCTGAGTTCTCTCGTTCCTCAGAGCCAAGCTGCTGAGCTAGGGCCTCAGTCTATCCAGGCTATGACTCAACAACAGATGTTAGCCTAGGGCCCTTGGCCTCTTTTCCACGCTTTGATTTAGAGCTCTGGCTTCGCAAGGAGCAATTGTCTCCTCTATTCTGTCCCAATTATAAGCACATGGCCTTGACACTCAAAAGTTGGAGACCCAGATATCCCTCCCTTTCCCAAGGAAGATGCTTCTCCAGGCTGAGGATGAAAGAGGCGGTTCTTAAAGGTAAGTACTTTGTGGCTCACGGAGGCCAACTTTGGACTTTAAAATGTGTGTGGCCTTTATGCTAGAATCTCTTTCCCTGGAGCCCTGTGGAAGAAGAGATTGAGGGTAGATGGTGGCAGGATAATTAATTTCCTGACAGGGTGTTGGTCACCAAGTCTTAAACCGCAGGACCTCAAAGCTCTGAAGGAAGGGAAATCATTAGCCCTTATGAGTTGAGCTGTCACAGGGCCAGCCCTTCCCTCCCTGTCACGGGAGTTCTGGGCCCAGCCGAACTCTTCTGTCTGTATGGTAACTTTCAGTGTGGTTTTGTGTTTTAACTGACATGCTATGTAAAATACATTACTGGGGGGAAAGTTTTGCAAAACATTGGTCAGTTGAAAAAAAAAATTGACTTCTCTCCTTGACTGTATAATCCCCGGGTCAGGAGGTCTGTAATTGGCTTTCATCTACTCTGTCCTCCTTTACAATCCCTCCCTCCCTCTCTCCCTCCCTTCCTGGATAGGGTCTCGGTATGTAACCCAGGCTGGTCTTGAACCCTGATTCTCCTGTGCTGGTCTCTCATGTGCCGAGACAACAGGTGTGAGCTATCACATCAACCTTCAGTTTCTCTGCTTAGAGTCATAACCCATCAGACTAGACATTTTCAATCATCTTTGACTCCTCTTTCCATTTCATAATCTAATTATATCTGGTTTGTCAACATGCCAAAGTTCCCTCTCTTGAAGAATCTCACATGTGGCCTGTCCCATGGTCACAGCCCACCCTTAGCCTGTTGCCTTAAGCCTGGATTACTAATGAAGCCATGCCTTGCTGCCCTGCACCTCAAGTTACCACCGAAGATTTATTTGAATCTTGTCTAAAAATACCAAGTACTTGCCTACGGCAGCGCACTCACAACTGTCTGTAATTCCAGCTTCAGCGGATCCAATGCCTCTGGCCTGTGTGCACAGACCCACACACATAATTACAAACAATAAAAATAAGTCTTTTAAGAAAAGAAAATACGGAGATTGTTACTGCTAGGATATGGGGGGAAAAGAGGCAAAGGAAGAATTTTAAAAATAAATAAAAACCCACCGCTATTATCTGTGCAGCATTGAGTCAAATGCTATAGGACAGGGCTGTGTTGGGTGGGTAGGCTCCAGATAAGTGGCTGGGGCTGACCTGTGAACAGTGAGTAATAGTGAAGCATAAGGAAAGCCAAGAGATAAGAAAGGATTCGACCCTAGAACTGAGCCTGGGAGGAGCTGAACCTGGAGGAGCTGAGCCTGGGAGGAAGCTCGGGAGGAAAGCCCGCAGTGGAAATCAGCTGGCATCCCTGGGGGACAGGGAGCCCAGCTGAAGGTCTTTGGGGGAAGTGGTGGGAGTGACCATAAGCCTTCTTTAGGACTCTTGATCTTTATTTTTATTTTTATTGTTTTTTTTGAGACAGGGTCTCACTACACAGACCTGGCTGGCCTTGAATTCAGAGATCTAGCTGCTTCTGTCTCCAAAGTGCTGTGGCTTACAGCATACTTTTAATCAACTACAAGCAAGTTTTTGTTTTCGTTTTGTTTTGTGTTTTTGGCAATAGTCTTACTGCATACTCTGGCTGTCCTGGAATTCACTGTGTAAACCAGGCTGACCTCGAACTAGTGCTGGGATTAAAATCATGTGCTATCATGCACAGCTACAAAAAAGTATTTGATGGATTGATAGGTCAAAGGGGAGGGCATGTCAGGTGAAAGGGACAGTACCAGCAGATGTGTCGATGGGACTCTGCAGGAGGCGTGGGGATACAGCCTGGCCGAGAGAGGGAAACTGAGATGATGAAGACTGAGAGTAGCAAGGCACCAAGACACGCCCACTTCAGCAGCAGGGGTAACATCCCGGAGTGCTTATTTCAGCCTGGCTAGGAACGGTCTTTTTCCTTTGGCAAAACTGTTGCAAGTGTCCATAAGATTTTTGTCCCTGACTTTTACCATTCCCGGATGCAGCGTAGTTTTCAGAACAGGCATTTGTACTGGATACAAAATACTCAAGCGCAGTTCATCCTCACTTACCCATTTCCCTATTGTCGAACATATTAATTTTTTTGTATGTTTCCCCCTTTTTTTTTTTTTTTTAGACATGGTTTCCTCTGTGTATCCCTGGCTGTCTTGGAACTTGCCCTGCAGACCAGGCAGGCTGGCCTTGAACTCACCTGTCACAGCCTCCCGAGTGCTGGGATTAAAGGTGTGCACAACCATCGCCCAGCAAACATACCACATTTTAACTAACTAACTAACTAACTAACTAACTAACTAACTAACTAACTAACTAATTAATTTATCTATTTACTTATGATATTGTGATAAACACACAACAAACCTGTTGTGCTGAGAGAAATGGAAGGAAACTGAGTCTTTGATGAACCCTTCAGTATCTCTGTCTGAGCTAGTAAGACAGCTTTTATTTCCCAGGCCAATTGTAGTGACATTTTCTCTGAATTGCCTCCTACCTTATCCCACCTAACACAGATCCCCAGGGGCAGGCACACACTTGTTTTACAGCTTGGGCCCTTCCTAGATCTTCAAGGCATGGTGCCCCACAGAGATGGGAGGAGCTTAATAAATACGTGCAGAGAAAGACTGTGACCTCCCTTAGTGGGTCCTTAGTATTTCTATTAACTTGTTTATGTTTATTGACTAAATGTTGCCGCTGCCTTTTTTTTTTTTTAATTGGTGCATTGGTGTTTTGCCTGCATGTATGTCTGTGTGAGGGTGTCAGATCCCTTGGAACTGGAGTTACAGACAGTTGTGAGCTGGCTGTCCTGTGGGTGCTGGGAATTGAACTCCGGTCCTCTTGAAAAACAGTCAGTGCTCTTAACCACTGAGCCATCTCTCCAACCCCTGCAACTGTCTTTTTAACTTCATTACTTAAAAATAATTTAAAAACTCAATTTTTATATTTTGGGGCTAAAATGTTTTCCTTTGTGATCTTGATAAAACAATTTTTTATTTTAGTTTATGTGCATAGTTGTTTTGCCTGCATGTGTGTCTGTGCACCATGTATGTGCCTGGTGTCCATAGAGACCAGAAGAGGGTGTTAAATCCCCTGGAGCTGGAGTTACAGACAGTTGTGAGCTGCCATGTGGGTGCTGGAATTGAACTCCTCCATAAGAGCAGCCACTGCCCTTAACCACTGAGCCATCTCTCCAGCTCCCCTTTGTGATCTTTAATATGAACATTCTAAATATATATCACCTTTATATATGTAATTGTATTTCCTTCTAATTTTTCTGCAGTTAATTTAAGTATTTAATTATCTAGAGTTTATTTAGGTATGTGGTTAAGGCTAAGTCCTGTGTGTGTACATACTACACATAGAACTCTAAAATAGTAATTCTGTGTACATAAGAATAGTATACATTCACGGTGCTTAATGCAGTATTTCAACACTCGCCTACAAGGTGTACTAATCAAGGTAATTGGCATATCTTTTTTCCCAAAATTTTAAGCCACTGTTCAAATGCCTTTCCTCCCATTGAGCTGCAGTATGTATATGAAATTGGGTCTGTTCTGTCTAGCTAGAGTGCTCAATCGATGTGCAGGCTGCATAATGTCTGTTTGTCAGGCCTGACTCTCCGCCACTTAAGCTCTTGTCGAAGGGTTTGCTTTGCTTTACGTTGCCTTCGGTGTGGTGGGAAAGCCAGGGTTTCAGACCTTTGAGGCAAAGGCCCTGCAAGATGAGGTGTGTCCCACCGTCTTTAAGCTTTTTAAATAATTATATCCTAATTAACTCTAAAAATATTATATTGAATTAAAATATAATTCACTGTAATTACACAAACCAAAAAAAATCATAAATTTAAAAAGTTCAACAGCGTTATAATTTAACTTTTTCCATTCAAGGAAACTTTTTTTTGTTTTTGTTTTAAAATTTGTGTGTGTGTAGTTTGAGAAAGCAATTTAAATTATCATTGTATGTAAGAATACAAGTATAAATTACAAGTCCCATAATGAGCCAAATTTTCCTTTATACAAAGTATTAAAATATAATTTTGAAATGAAATTATATGTGCACAGTTGTAAGTATGCTAAGTCAGCAGCTGTACAGCAGTGAGAAACAGCGGGGCAAACATAAGCGTAAACGAACATTCCCGAGTTCCCTTGTCTCACTGCACGTCAAAACCCATCAATCTTAGCTCAGATTCACTCCTTACCCATTGATTCTTAGGCATTTAAAAAGAATCGTTTGTTGTGGAGACAGAGTCTCATTGTGTAGCCCTGACTAATCTGGAACTCCCTATGTAGATCAGGACTCTCTCAGACTTACACATTCCCACCCCTGTCTCCTGAATGCTGGAATTAAAGGTGTGTGGCACCATGCCAGATTCTGGTTTTTCTTTTTCTTTCTGCTTCCTCCTCTTTCTCCTTTTCTTCTTCTTCTCCTTCTCCTTCTCTTCTTCTTTTTTCGGTTTTGTTTTTTTTGAAACAGAGTTTCTCTGTGTAGCCCTAGCTGTCCTGAAACTCATTCTGTAGACCAGGCTGGCCTCAAACTCCCAGAGATCCACCGGCCTCTGTCTCCCGGGTGCTGGGATTAAAGGGTGGGCCACTATGCCTGGCCTGAGTTTTCTTCTTTGAGGTCCTCCCAGAATCCTCAAACCTGTGCTGTGTCCCTCTGGAACCCACCCAGTTCATGCAAACCATCTGGACCATCCTGTTGTAGAACATAGTAACACTGTTTTGCGTTATAATCCAGACCTTGCTTGCTTCTTTCCCTAATTAGACTGCAAGTGATTAAACACTAAGGCTGTCATTAGTCCACACAGTGCCTAGCCACACAATGACTTAGAAGAAACCAGGATTTTTCTGTGCCGAAGGCACCACTTGTTTTTGTTTTTTTCAGATTTATTGAATTTTTTGATTTGTATGAGTGTTTGGCCTGCATGTCTGTATACGCACCGGGTGCATACCTGGTGACTGAGGTCAGAAGAGGGCATCAGATCCCCTGGGACTGGAGTTACAGGTGAAGAGGGCATCAGATCCCCTGGGACTGGAGTTACAGGTGAAGAGGGCATCAGATCCCCTGGGACTGGAGTTACAGGTGAAGAGGGCATCAGATCCCCTGGGACTGGAGTTACAGGTGATTGTCAACTGCCATGTGGGTGCTGGGAACCAAACCTGGGTCCTCTGCAAGAGTACCTGCACCAGCCCTGTCTTCCTCCCTTTCCTCCAGCTCCCTCTTCCGCTTTGGTTCTAAGAGGGTCTCTCTGGATAGCCAGAAAGACCTCACGTGCCCCAGCTTCCCGAGTACTAGGATTGTGAGTATACATCACACCACACACCTTTTCTTTCTTTTTTTTTTTTTTAAAGACAGGGTCTCGTATAGTTCTGACTGGCCAGTTCTTGAACTGACTATGTAGAGTATAGCTTTGACCATAACGTCTAATCCACCCACTTCCATCTCTGAACTGCTGGGATCCGTGTGTCACCATGCCCAGCTTCAGTTTGCTTTTTAAATAATTCTTTCCAGCTGGGCATGGTGATACATCCCTGAAATTCCAGCATTTAGGAGGGTGAGGCAGGAGAACAGCCTGGGCCCAATAGGGAGACCCTGTTTTAAAAAAAATACTTTGTTGGGGGCTGGAGAGATGGCTCAGCAATTAAGAGCATTAGCTGCTCTTCCAGAGGACCCAGGTTCAATTCCTAGCACCCACATGGCAGCTCACACCGGCCTTTAACTCTAGTTCCAGGGCTTCTGACACCCTCACACAGACATACATGCAGGCAAAACACCAATGCACATAAAATAAAAATAGATTTTTTTTTTTAAAAAAAAGAGTGTTCTTGGGCTGGAGAGATGGCTCAGTGGTTAAGAGCACTGGTTGTTCTTCAAGAGAACCTGAGTTTGATTCCCAGCACCCACATGGTGGCTCACAACTGCCTTCAGCTCCAGTCCCAGGGGATCTGACACCTTCTTCTGGCCTCTGAGGGTACCAGGCATGCAAATAGTGCACATACACATAGAAAAAACGATAAAGAATTTTGTCTACTCTCTTAGTTGATCCCAGGGGATGAGAAACAGGTAGCTTGTGTGTCCCAATATGCTTATGGAAGAGTCAAGCAAGCACCAGCAATAAAGAATCTCATTTGACGGGAGCCATAAGCCTAAGTGACCCTTGACATACAGGCCGCCATATTTGGGCTTCTCTCCTCTTTTCTTAGATCTAGGCCTTGCTTAAGTCTCCATAGCACCAGAACCTCTTCTCACAGATACCAGAACCTCTTCTCAGATATCAGGTGAATGAGCTGCAGTTAAGCAATTAGGCAGTTAGACAAGGGTAGATAGATAACCTTCAGAGCAACATTTCCTGCTGGCCGAACAGCCCATAATTAAGTCCCTTCCTGCTTGCAACCCCCATTACTAAGTTCCTTCCTGCTTGCAACCCCCATAATTAAGTCCCTTCCTGTTTGCAACCCCCATAGTTAAGTCCCTTCCTGCTCGCAACCCCCTTTGCCTACCTATATATGCCTTGAGAGAAAAATAAAATTTTGGAGCTTGATTAGACGTCCTGTCTTGCTCTCATTCTTTGTGTCTCTTGTCCCTCTCATTCACCGGCCCTCCCTTTAGGACCCCATTGAAGACCCCGCTGGCCGGGGCACTCATTTGTCATTCACTGTCCTTGCATTTGGTCATCTAGCAGCAGTGATTTAGATATTTTAAAAAAATCGTATGTGTACAAGTGCTTTTGCCTACATGTATGCTTATATACACGTGTGCAGTACCCACAGGGACCAAAAGAGGGCATCAGATCATCTGGAACTGGAGTTACAGGTGATTGTGAGCTCCATGTGGGTTCTAGGAACTGTATGCTGGTCCTCTGCAAGAACAAGTGCTGTGAAGCACAGAGGCATCTCTCCAGCCCCCTTATATGTCTCTGTTCAGACCATTACTTCAGCTATGAGGGAGTAAAGCACAGCATTACACGTGGAGCTATGGGGCCAGACTGCCCGTGACCTAGCTCCATCCATTCTGTCTATCTGTGCATCCTTTGACTTGCTCTCTTGTGTCTCGATTTCTTCCTCTGTCAAATGGGAACTAGATGGTGCCTAGTTCACTCTAAGCACTCAGTAAATATTCCTAGTAAGTAGACATTATCATCTTGGTTTTACAAATGGGGAAATTAAAGCTTAGAGAGTTCAAGTAACTTTTCCAAATAGCAGAGCTAGAAAAGAAGATATAACACAATAAGTAAGAGCCAAAGCCCATGATGATTCTCTGAGCTCTATGCTACACAGTGAGCATGTCTGGCACACTGTGGACACTGAATATGTGATTTATTGTGAGTAAATATTTCTGAGCATTTAATATATAGGGCTTAACTGTAGGATTACAAGGGAAATTCAGCGAACCTGTCCTTAATTAATTAATTATTAATTAATGCTATTAATCTAAGTAGTACCACAAGACATCTGTATGCCAGCAGGTAAGTAGTCCCACACCATTTCTAAAAGAAAGCTCAGAAAGCATCCAATCTAGATTTAAGGGCACAAAGGTGGGTGCAGGTAAGGGTGGGTGTGGGTCCAGGTGGGCATGGGCAAGTGAGGGCTACTTTAGGCTTCCCAAGAGAGCCTCTTCCTGTCTAACCTGTGCCTTCATTGCCTTCCTGTTCTGCCTTCTCATTGGCTCTTAGCCCAGCCACCTCACTTCCTCATCACTGCCTGTCTGTACAGACCTCCAGGTCTCTATGGTTGGCACTGGGATTAAAGGCGTGTGTCACCACGCTTGGCTGTGTCCTTGAACACACAGAGACTCTGCCTGCCATGTGATCGGATTAAGGCATGTGCTACCACTGCCTGACTTCTGTTTATGGCTAGCTATGACCTCTGATCTCCAGGCAAACTTTATTTATTAACATACAAATAAAATATCACCACATTCCCCCCTTTTTTCTAATAAAAATAAAAAAGAATAAAAAAGTTATAACTAATATAAGAAAAACTATATCCAAAAGTACAATAACTATATACCACATATACAAGCAATAAATATATCAACAATGTCTAGTCCATTTGCATTTGACAAACTCAGAGAAAATATTCCATTATCTATCCTATTTTGTTAAGTCCAAAATGTACCTGAATCACTTTCTATCCTAACATGTATTACTAACAGAAAACTATCTTATAATGTCTTTTAAATTTATACACTTTACACCTCTTTGGTGAGTTTCTTTTCTGAAATCTTAACAAGGAAAACTATAACTATAACTATCTAATCTTCACTGACCCTGTGCTGGTATATCTTAGAGTACTGTCCCTTGTAGAAGATTGGGGTGTGGAGAGTGAGAGATGGGGAGATGTTCTGCTTTCCCCAAGCTCCTCCTGAGCCTTTTGGATCACCTGACTCACCTGAGTTCACAGTTGTGTGTGTGTGAGGGTGCTGGGAACTGAACCCAGCACCTCACACATTCTGGGCGGAGCTTTACTACTGAGCTGTATCCCCAGTGACCCCACATTAAATTTTTTTTTCTTTGAGGTCTTATTTACATTTTATGTGTGTCAGTGGTTTGTTGCTTGCGTGCATGTCTGTGCACCACATATGTGCAGTGTCCTCAGAGGCCAGAAGAGGGTGACAGATCCCCTGGGATTGGAGTTAAGGATGGTTGTCAGTCACCATGTGGATTCTGGGAATTGAACCTGGGTGCGCTGGAAGGCAGCCAGTTCTCTTAACAGCTGAGCCATCTCTCCAGCCCCTTGTGTTTTTTCTTTTTATTTTATTTATTTATTTATTTTTAAGATTTATTATATATGCAGTATTCTGCCTGCATATATGCCTGCAGGCCAGAAGAGGGCGCCAGATCTCATTACAGATGGTTGTGAGCTCTCATGTGGTTGCTGGGAATTGGACTCAGGACCTCCGGAAGAACAGCCAGTGCTCTTAACCACTGAGCCATCTCTCCAGCCCCGTGTTTTTTCTTTTTAAAGGTGTGTGTGTGTGTGTGTGTGTGTGTGTGTGTGTGTGTGTGTGTGTGTGTGTGTGTGTGTGTCCGTCCATGTATGTAAGAATGCAGAATGCAGGTGCCTGCAGAGGCCAGCAGGGGGCATTGGATGTTCTTGGAGCTGGAGTTACAGGTGAGCCCCTAACATGAGAGGTGAGAGCCCAGCTCCAGTCCTCTACCAAGGCAGGAAGCACCGCCCTTACCTATTGAACCATCTCTCCAGCCCTGAAGCCCCGAGTTCTTAAGTGCCATTGTGCCTTTCCACATTTGAAGAGGTGACTGTTTCTCCTTCCCCGTCCTCTGTTGAGCGTGGGCTCTTTGCCTGGCTCCTTCTCTAACCTCAGTGTGTCCTTACTCAAAAGTCTTAACCTCTCTGAGCTTCAGATTCTCTACTATTAAAAAAAAAATGGTGGTGGGGGGAGAGGGTTAGACTGAAGTCCCTTTCAACTCATTGAAGAGTTTGGTGAGCCAAGTGGAGGCACTCTGCACCTCCAGGTTGAAACCAGTAGAGGGCAGCATGTCCTCGAGCACCTGGGCAGGTGGCCACTACGAGCCCCATGGGACAAAGCAGAGGCCTCAGGAGTTCTCATGATGTAAATACCAAATTAATTTATTTTTATTTTTTTATTTTTTAGCAAAGGGCAACAGCTGAATTAGGGTGAAATGAGGGATTTTTACAAATTAGGTCCAGCACCAGAAGAAGAAAGGCCAGGCCTAAAAAGAAGTTGGATTATAGGGAAGTAAGTTTTATTTAAAAACTGCATGCGTCTCCCTGTGCTGGTTTTGCTTGGTTACGTGTGTCATCAGAGGCAGACCTCTGGGAACATTCTAGAGGCTGCAAACATTTTGATACAATGAAAGCTGATTTTAAGATCTCATTTATAGCTGGACAAGATGGGACATGCCTGTAATCTAGTGCTTGGGAGGCAGTAGAGGTGGAGGCAGGGGGATTCAGAATTCAAGGACATCCCCAACTACATAGCACATTGGAAGACAGCTGGGTTATACGATACCCTGTCTCAAAACAGCAACAAAAAAGATCTCATATATGCTGCGTAGTGGTGGTGTATGTCTGTAATCCCAGCACTCGGGAAGCAGGGGTAGGTGGATCTCTGTGACTTCGAGGCCAGCCTGGTGTACAGAGTGGGTTCCAGGACAGCCAGGGCTACATAGAGAAAGAAAAGAAAAGAAAAAAAAATCTCATTAATAAGGCTTGGTGTTGAACTTCCTCTTGTTAGAGTTCCTGGATAAATGTCAATTCATTTGCTCATGTTAAATAAGTTCATGAAAGAATCAGTTCTGGAGGTTTCCAGAAAACTCTGTCAAGCTCCCCCCCCCCCCCCCGCCCCCTTTTTTTTTCCTAGAGAGGATGCTGTAGCTGGGATTCTCTTGCGCTCACTGGATGACAATCACAGCCTGAGCACGCGTAGGGGAAAGCTCAGCGTGGGTGGTCAGGAGGGCTGGGTGCTGGTGTGGCTTACCCTGTGAGGACGTGGTAAGGCATTTCACTAATCTGAACCCCAGGTCCTGCTTCTCTCAAATAGCAGGTTGTCTGAGTTCCAGTCATTGACTGTCAACATTTTGTATAATCACAAGCTGCCTGAGAACTCAAGCTGGGTGTGGTGGCACGTACGTAATTGTAATGCCAGCACGTGAGGGAGTGAAGGTCAGAGGATCAAAAGATTAAGGTTGGGGGCTGCAGAGATGGCCCAGTAGTTAAGAGCATCTGCTGCTCTTACAGAGGACCTGAGTTCAGTTCTTAGCGTCCATGTAGGGTGGCTCATAACTGCCTGTAACTCCAGCCATAGGGGATCCAACACCTTCTAGTGGCCTCCATGGGCATTCACACTCATGTGTGCAAACACATGCATACACACACACACACACACACACAAATAAATACATATTTTAGCCTGGTGGTGGCGGTGGCGGCGGCGGCGGCGGCGGCGGCGGCGGCGGCGGCGGCGGCGGCGGCGACAGCGGTGGTGGCGCACGCCTTTAATCCCAGCACCCGGCAGGCAGAAGCAGGCGAATCTCTGTGAGTTGGAGGCCAGCCTGGTCTACAGATCGAATTCTAAGACAGCTAGGACTACACAGAGAAACCCTGTCTCTCAAAAAACCAAAAAACAAACAAAACAAAACCAAAAAATACATTTTTTTTTAAAAAAGGAGTTCCAGGTTGGACTAGTGGGTCAAATCACTTATCCTCTGCCCTCCACATGTGCCTGCCCCTCCCAAATAAAGGAAGAAATAATAAACACCTGTTCAAAAGGCATGGCCACCTGAGTTCAATGCCTGGCACCCACGTAAAAGCAGAAGGAGAGAAGCAACTCTGAAAAGTTCTCCACAGCTACGCTGCCTTGGAATCTTGTAGAGACCCACAGAACAGACTTAAGGATGTGACAGCTGAATAGAAAGATAATGTTGCTCACTCAGCAACAACGGGGCTGAGCTCCCCTCCCCTGGCCATGGAGATGTGACAGCTGCGATTAAGCTTTCCTCCCCCTGGTTTCTGGACTTCTGCTACTGTGCGGCTTGTTTTCTGAGAAACCGTTTACCTTTCCTCACTTTTTTCTGCTGTATGCTTTTGCCTTCTTCTAATCCCCACTCAGAAGCCAGGAGAGATGGTTTGGGCTGGGGGACTGGGGGTGAGGAATCTGTTACCAAGGCTAGTGACCTGAGTTTGATCCTGGGGACCCTTGTGATGGAGAGAACTGACTCCTGAAAGTTGTACTTCTAACCCCCACACTCGCACTGTAAGCCAAAACAAACAAACAAAACCCTGGGCCAGCAAGGGAGCCGGCAGGGAAGCCAAGGCAGGCAACTAGAATTCAATTCCTGGGGCCCATATGGGGGAGAGAAGCGATTCCCAAATGCTGCCCTCTGACCTCCGCAGATGCACACGGCAGGAACACCCCTCCCAAATAAAAAAACCAACAATCCTGAGCAGTAATAGTGCCTGCCTGTAATCCCAGTACTTGAGAAGGGAAGGCAGTAGGATTGGGATTTCATGGTCAGCCTTGGTTACAAACTAAGTTGGAGGCTATCTTAGGCTACATGAAACCCCCGTCTCGAAAAACAAAACAAGGGCTGTGGACGCAGTTCAACTGATAGAGTACTTGCCTAGCATGCACAAAGCCCTGGGTTCAACCCCTGGCACCACATAAAACCAAGCTACGTGACAAGTTTGAGGCTAGCCTGGTAAATGTGAGACCCTGTTTCAAAACCAAAGAACCCCGACAGCTGATGCCTGTTGGTGAATCCCCACCTCACCCCCAGGATGCCGGACAGTGTTTATCATCCTCTGCAGTGCTCCCTCAGCACCTGGTACATAGTCTCCCACTCCACACTACCTGTTTGTTGTCTTGTCTGCCTCTAGCCCAGGCTGAGGAGAAGTCCTAAATGGCAGAGGTGATTTGTCTCCCTGTCCCAGCATTGGTCCAGTACCTAGTGGCTGGTGGGTACCGCACCAGTGTTGGGAGAACCACAGTGAATTGTCTGGGACCGGCAGGATGTTTACAAGGTGGCTGTCCTGGATCACTGAAGAACAGATAATCGCTCCTGGAGGGAGCCCTGGCGCACTTGCCTGGCACCAGGGGCTGAATGGAGAGAACTGAGTGCCGGTATTTAATGTCTGTGCACTGGAGGGAACATATTATTTAGAAATGATGGAGCTGGGTAGGGTGGCTGGCACCTGTAATCTCAGCCAGTTGGGAGACACAGTGGTTATGAATTCCAAGCCACCCTAGGCTACGTAGTGAGACTCTCCCACAAACCAAAACCAAGTGCCAGATTAGTGTGGCACAGTGAGTTCCAGGCCAGCCAGGGCCCCACGGTCTCAGAAACCAAACCAGAACCAAACCAAGCAGAAAACTTGACAGAAGCGGATCAAAACCCATTTTAACTCCAGAAGAGATTTAAATGAACTTTCGGGGGGCTGGAGTGATGGTTCAGTGGTTAAGAGTGCTGGCTGCACTTCCAAAAGACTTGGATTCGATTCCTAGAACCCACATGGCAACTCACAACCCAAAGCCGGGCGGTGGTGGCGCACGCCTTTAATTCCAGCACTTGGGAGGCAGAGGGAGGTGGATCTCTGTGAGTTTGAGGCCAACCTGGTCTGCAAATCGAGTTCCAGGGCAGTCAGGGCTACATAGAGAAACCCTGTCTTGAAAAACCAAAAAAACAAAAACAAAAACACAAAACCCACAAAAAAACCAAAACCAAAAAAATCTTCTCAGAGTAAGCCCCAGGGCTTGGGTTTGAGGGGTTGGGGAAGTCTTAGTCAATGATATTTTCTAGGAAAATTGCCTGGAATTACTGAATTGAAGTAAATAGACGATCTCTAATTCCAGGTTTATAGACTGAGCCAGATAGGCATTTTGCTGATCTCTGGATATGGGACACAGGCTGGTTTTCAGTAGTGTTGTCTGGAGCGTCCTCAAGCTCCCTGACATGGGTGGTGGGAACTGAACCCAGGTCCTCTGGAAGAACAGTATGTGCTCTTAACCACTGAGCCATTCCTGCTGGTCAGATCCCCACCGCCGTTCTCCGTACGGCTCTCACAGCTTTGCCTCATGTCCAAACGTCCGAGGGACTGTAAGCATGAACACATACATGTTGTCAGTAAACAGACTTTTCGAGAGCTGCAAACACCCACTCAGGCTTTGTGCCTGGGCTTCTTTGTGGCTTGGAGACTTCCTCTCTGCCTGCCTGTCCCAAAGGCTCTTGGCATAGATATTCTGAAGTGAGCCAGCTCTGTTGAAAGAGGACAGAAAACAAAGGAATAAATGAGCAGGTGACCTTCAAGGGGAATTGAAGTGGATATGGCAGTTGATTCCAGTCTGCATACAACATTCCCTTACAATGATTTTATTACTATTATTATTTAATTTTAAGGGTGGTTCTTGAATTGCATCAGTCAAAACAACTTTGGAAATGTAACTGGGTATGGTAGCACTCACCTGTAATCCCAGCACCTGGGAGACTGAGGCAGAAGGATGATTCCAGCCAAAGATTGTGAAGCCATTGAGAACCCATCTCAAATAAGATTAATAATAATTCCAGTAATAGTAATAATAACAACAATAATAAAAAAACAACCGTAGGGCTGGAGAAATGGCTCAGTTGTTAAGAGCACATACTGTTCTTCCAGAGGATTTGGATTCAGTTCCTACCACCCATGTCATGCAACTCACAATCACTTGTAACTCTAGCTCCAGGGAAATCTAATACCTTTGGCCTCTGTTGGCACTGTCCTCATGCACATATTCACAGAGAGACCCACACACAAACACATAAGTAAAAGTAAAGTAAGTCTATAATAATGATAATAAACCACATGTCTTAGTTACATTTCTGCTGCTATGACAAAACACCATGACAAAGGCAACTCATAAAAGAAGAGTTTATGTGAGGCTTACAGTTTCAGAGGACTAGAGTCCATGACCATCATGGTGGAGAGCATGGCGGCAGGCAGGCAGGCATGGTACTGGTGCAATAGCTGAGAGAGCTCACATCTTGAGACACAACCTCAAGGCAGAGAGAGCTAACTAGGAATGACATGGCCTTTTGAAATCTCAACTCCCACCCCCAGTGATATGCCTCCTCTAACAAGGCCACACCTCCTAATCCTTCCCAAACAGTTCCACCAACTGGGGACCAAGTATTGAAACATATGAGTTTCTGGGGGCCATTCGAATTCAAACCATCACATCCTAGCACTCAAGAGGCAGGAGGCTGGAGGTTCAACATGAGTTTGAGATCAACTTGGTCGACACAGTCAGTTCCAGGTCAGCCAAGTTTAAACAGAGAAACTCTACCAGTAAATACATTAAAAAAATAAATAAGGCTGGGCATGGTGGCACAAGTTTTTAATCCTAGCACTAGGGAGGCAGACAGGTGGGTCTCTGTGAGTTCAAGGCCAGCCTGGTCTACAGAGGGAGATCCAGGACAGCCAGGGCTACACACAAAAACCCTGTCTCAAATAAACAAAATAAATAAACAAATAAATAAGAAATCAAAAAGCCCATGAAGCCCACCTGAGGGTCTGAGGAAAGGGGACAATGGTACAGGTTGGAAATAAGCAGTGGTTAATGCTGGTAAACGGTTCTCATCCACAGGTAAAGGTGGGTGAAGTTCGGCATAAGCACTGTTAGGAACAACCATGGACTAACACAGCTTTCAAGCTTAACAAAATCATTTCGCTTTGTATCTTGAATATTTTCACTGCTTTCTCTATGTAGCCCCAGGTTGTCCTCAATTTTGCTACAGAGACCAGGCTGGCTCGAACTCACAGAGATCCTCCTGCCTCTGCCTTCTGAGAAAGTCTCTCTTATTGTGGTAAGTTAGATAACACAGAAAATTTAACATTTAACCAATTTGAAGTGTGTGGCTGTGGCACTAATTATTTTCACAGTGTTGTGCAAGCACCCCACCCCCACCCATCCCCACAGTTCTTTCATACCTTTCCCAATCCAAATTTGGTACCTCTTAAAGATTCTCTTCCTGTTCCTCCCTTCCTCAAGTGCTGGTAACTACCATTTCACTTTCTGTCCATGCCACATAGAAAAATAACCACATCATGCTATAACTGTAAAATTGTCTTTTGTAACTGGCTAATTTCATTCAGCATTATCTTCAAGGTTTACCCTGTTGGAGCATGTGCTTCATTTTTTTTTAAAACTAAACTATTTTTTTGTAAGTGCCATGTACATTCTTATTTATTTATTTATTGAAGTATCTACATGAAGTTGAAGCGGCACCCCGTGGCAGCTTATCCAAATCCACCCTTCTTGCTGCAGCCCGCCCTTTGTATTTACAGGGCTTCAGTTGGAGTCAGGTGTTCCCTGGAAGCTATACGTCCTGTGACAGGTCTACTCTAAGCCCCAGGAGGAAGAACTGACTAAAACTAGTCATGGTAGTTGTTTTTGTTGTGTGTGTGTGTGTGTGTGTGTGTGTGTGTGTGTGTGTGTGTGTGTGTGTGTGTTTTGTCAGTCGTTGGTTTAGCATATTAGACGGGAGACAGGAGAGAATGCTGGGAAAGGCTGCTTGGGAGCCTGCTCGCTTTCCTTTCTGTGTGAGTCACACCAGTAGGTATGCAGCACTTGTACGTCTGGCGCCCTTAGATGTCAGAAGAGGGTGTGGGATCCTACTGAACTGGAGTTATAGATGCTTATGAGGCACTATGTGTGTGCTGGGAATCGAACCCGGGACCTCTGCAAGAACAAGAAGTGCTCTTAACCATACACGGCCAATTCATTTGTTTTCCAGAAGCTTACATTCAGCTTGGGAAGGTAAAAACCCAGCTAGACCCTTGCTGCTGTTTCTAAACTGAGTTGTGCTGACCATAAATGCAGTGAAGGGTTATATTGATTTTTCTTTTGAAGTATAATGAATTACTACAGATTCAGCAGCTTAAAACGCCACGGGCCCTCTACTCAGATCTCACTCGGCTACAATCAAGGTGCTACTGGACTGTCCTTTGTGGGGCTTGGATCCTCTTCCACGTGTTCGTGTGCTTGTTGGCAGAGTTTAATGAGGGCATAAGATGGAGGGACTTACTTTTTTGCTGTCCCCAAGAGTCACTCAGGTCCTGAAGTCCCCTGAAGCTTCACATATGTGGCTCTCCCGAGACGGTTCTCAACCTTCCACTAAGCCATCAGGACCAGTCTGACTAAGAAGGAACATTACATTACACCGCAGAACCATGGGGGTGACACAGCTGTCACCTCTGGCACACTTTATTGCCCAGAAGCAAGTCACACTACTCACCTTCAAGGGAGGGAGTTACACAAGAGCATGACTCATTAGGGGTCACCTGGAACTGTATTTGCCTCAGGAATTTAGAAAAGGGAAATGTCAGATGTAGCTGGAGTCTTCAGGGACACTGGAGGGAGACTTCAGCTCCGGCTTGGACGAGGAGACTTCAGAGCAGCAAAAAGCTAAAGCATAAGACCAAAAGGCTGTGTGAGCGGAAGTGCAGAGCTGGGCTTTCCACCTAAGTATCCCTGCTGGAAGGGAGATGGGAACCACTGCCTCTTCAGGGCGCAGGAGGTACGGAGAACTTATTCAACCAAAAAGAAGATGGACAGAGGAATGAGAGTGGCCTGGCTTCGGTTGGAACATTTGGGTTCAAGGTTCAGTCCTTGGTTAATTAGCAGTGTGCCTGTGGTCTGCTGTTATCCGAGCCTAGTTTCTTGGGATGATTTCTGTTTACATGGTTATTGTGAGGGTAAACTGAGCCCTGAGGTGGGATGTGCTCTGCAAACAATGAATGGTCCAAGTCCAATGTTGAAGACAGTGTCATTGACTTCCCAGACCCCACTCTGTCTGAGTACCCTGGGTCCCTGACTCCTCTTAGCTTTTCATTGATCTCTTTCCTCATTGAGTCTTCTACAATGTGGCTAGAAGTTCTGCACTCCGCACCCATCTTAGCTCAATGTGTGGTCTACCTTACTCTGCCATTTGTCACCACCCAGAGCCAAAGGCTCCCAAAACTGTACTGTGGCCCAGTGTCCAAACAATGGTTAGACAACTCCTCTTGGACCTCTTACAGGCCCTTCAAGTCCACCCGGCTCCAAGTACTTTCTCCCCTGCACACCTCCTCCTCCTTCTTGTGCCTCGTCTTGGGGGACTGTGGACCATGGCTTCCTCTCTGTCCCAGGGCTGACATCCTCCCAGGCTCCGAGTCTTTCCTCTCCCATGTCCCCCTCCTTGTATCCCCACTGCTACTGCCCTAGCTCAAATCCCATTAACCCTCCCGCTTCACTGCAGCTGCTTCTTAATTATCTATCTCAATTCATTCTCCACACGCCCTGTAGCATGAACTTCCTCAAGTGCAAGCGTGATAAATGTTTGGATAATCTACCCAAGAAGCATTCAAAGGCCCCCTAAATTCTTAGGAATGAAATTCCAATTCCTGGGCATGAACAACATCCAGTCTCTGGAGCCCCGAAAGATCTGACTCTCCAGTCTTCCTGAGCTGTGGATTCTCACGCTGCACTGATGGTCGTGCAGACCTCAGCGCCCCCCACCATCATGTTCTGTGTTGTGAGCTCTTCTTGTGTATAACAACATCTCCCCTGCGTCCTCACCTCTAGGTTTGGAAGGTTTCTTTCTCCTAGGAGCTTGTGCAGGTCTCTGTCACATCTCTCATTGTGATTTAATTGTTAGTATTATTTTGTCTTTTGCTATTAAGATCTCTGTGAGTTCAAGGCCACACTGGAAACAGAGCCAGGCAGTGGTGGCACACACCTTTAATCCCAGGAAGTGATGTCTGGACAGAGAAAGGTATATAAGGTGTGAGGAAACAGGAACTCACTCTCTTTAGGCTGAGGATTTTGTAGAGGTAAGAACTAGTGTGTGCATGTGCGTGCAGATCTGCTTCTGTGATCCTCAGGCAAGTTTATTAGGGTACACAATGTATCACCACATTCATTCTACTGAAAATTTGGAAGTTAGAGAAGAGTTAATGAAAAGGAATAATGTGAAAAGTCTCTCTCCTACTTCTGTTCCCATCCTGCTGTCTAGTCTCCCTTCCTAGCAGTAATCCATGCTATCAGTTTCTTGTGACTATTTCTAAAGATACAGTTATACGGTTCCTCTTTTATACACAAACGATATTATGTTCTACAGTCTGTGTTCCATCTCATTCTCACGGGACTGTGCACAGTCTCTGTGAGCTCATTTCATGCCATACCATAAAGAGCTTCCTTATTCCTTTTGTTTAAAGTGATTCAGTTTTCCATTGCGGATGTATCACAATTTAATCAATGACTGTTATTAGGCTGTTTCCAAACTACTGTGAATACAAACAATACTGAAATGAATTTCTTTATAAAAGTGTTATTTCCCAGGTGTGTGAGTGGAAATGAACTCTGAGAAATGGAACTGCCGCACGAGGGGCAGGTGCAGTTTCATGTCTGACTACATACTATTGATTTTCTTGGCGTCTGTAGCTTTCTCATTTCTCTCTGCATCTCTCATCACTGTTAATAAAGCCTAGAACAGAATGTACACTCAGTATCTGTGTGCATGCATGTATTTATATATATATATCTGTTTTTATGTATATATACATATATACACGCACATGCACACACATGAATAAGGGTCTCTTATAGCCTAGGCTAGCCTTGAACTTGTTTTATAGCCGAGGATGATGACCTTAAACTGATTTTCCTAAGGCCTCTATGCTCTGAGTGCTGGGAGTGTATCACATCTTGTTTATGTGCTACTAGGAATTTAAGCAGGGGCTTCCTGTGTTCTAGGCAACTGGCTGACATCCTTGGCCTCATTCTGCTGTGGGATGTTCTGTATGTCAAATGTGTTGCTGATTAGTCAATAATTAAAACACTGTTTGGCCATTGGCTAGACAGGAAGTGTAGGCGGGACAAGGAGGAGAATAAAGCTGGGAAGTGGAAGGCTGAGTCAGAGAGACACTGCCAGCCACCACGATGAGAAACAGCATGTGAAGATGCCGGTAAGCCACGAGCCATGTGGCAAGGTATAGATTTATAAAAATGGATTAATTTAAGCTGAAAGAACAGTTAGCAAGAAGCCTGCCATGGCCATACAGTTTGAAACCAATACAAGTCTCTGTGTTTACTTGGTCGGGTCTGACGGCTGTGGGACTGGCAGGTGAGAGAGATTTGCCCTGACTGTGGGCCAGGCAGGAAAACTCTAGCTACATCATTCAGTTTATATTTTTAAAAAGTTTTATTTATGCATATGAGTGCTCTATTTGCATGTATGCCTGCATGACAGAAGAGGGCATCAGACAGAAGTGGGCATCAGATCCCATTATAGATGGTTGTGTGCCACCATGTGATTGCTGGGAATTGAGCTCAGGACCTCTGGAAGAGCAGCAGTGCTCTTAACTACTGAGCTAGCTCTCCAGTTCCCTTTCAGTATATTTTTAATAAATAAATTACAGAGACTGGCTAGCCTCTGCCTCCTGAATGCTGGGATTAAAGGCATGGGATTGACAGAAACTAGTTCTTTCAGCAACACATTCTTTCCACCCACTGTTCAGTTCAAACCAAATGATTCATGTTCAAACCAAATTCCATCATTATGTTGCAGCAAAGCTCACTGCAGCTCTACTATTGCAGCATTTGAAAACTAACCAAGAATCTTCTTCATTAGCCTTGTTGTAAAATAAGGTCACCTTTATTCCTTTTGCTTATAATTCAAAACATTTTTTACCTTCATATGCAGGCTCTAACTGTAGTGACTTTGTGTCTCCAGTGTTTTTCAAAATCTCTAAATTCCTCTATGACTTCCTGTATCACCTGTAATCCTAAGAACTCTGCATAGCCCCTAAGCTCTTTCAGGAGGGTGTTTGCTGCTTTTATAAACTGCAACCTCTCCAAGCATCTTTCTTCATCTACAAAATAGGGAACGTGATAGTGCTGTAAGGAGTTAATGAGCTACAGATGTAAGTGCTTGGCACATGGTAATGCTGAGAAAGAGTTCTTGGTGCTTCTGCTCATCTTCTGCTGTATGCCAAGAATGCAGACTCCTGGCTGGTTACTCCAGCACGGTTATTTCTCAGAGTTGTGGGGTTGTGTTAGCATGTGGCTTTGAAAGATGAAGTAATGAATCCCTTTAGGACAAAGAAGTTTCCTTCCTTCCTTCCTCTCCCTCCCTCCCTCCCTCCCTCCCTCCCTCCCTCCCTCCTTCCCTCCCTTTCTCTCTCTCTCTCTCTCTCTCTCTCTCTCTCTCTCTCTCTCTCTCTTTCTTTCTTTTTCTTTCTTGTTTTGTTTTTCGAGACAGTGTTTCCATGTGTAGCCCTGGCTGGCCTGGAACTCACTTTGTAGATCAGGCTAGCCTCGAACTCAGAGATCCACCTGCCTCTGCCTTCTGTGGCATCAAGTAGGCCACTAGTTGGTGCCTGTGATTCATCGCAGTCTTAAATTACTCATTCATTTGTATATTCATCTTGGGTGATGACCCAGCAACCGAGTGATAGAACCAGATTGCGAATTTGGTTCCCTATTTCATGTATTAGGAAACGGAACCTTAGTATGGCCAAAGTCAGCAATTATGTAACACAATCAAAAGCTCAGTTATTTTTGCACAACTTTTTTTTATGTATTGCAACTTCACATAAACTATATACAGGCATACAAAAAGTGTGTGTGGAGCCAAACGACAGCCTCTATGATTTAGAACTGGATATTAGAGTGGTCAATAATTTCAATTTAGCAATAGTTTTGAAGTTGACTTTATCTCATTTATTTCATTTCTCCCAATAGCGTAGGAGAATTCTTTGAAAACATAGCAATTGATGTTTTTGGCTACCTACCAAAATATAAACTTGATGATGTGCAGAGTTCCTGGTCACAACAAGAAGAGTAAGACCAGAGTAATGAAAACAGCAATCTGAGCAATTACTACTCTAGTCTAGTATTTGATTTTACCCTACTGATAAGGTCACAAGTTAATCTGTTACTGTTTAGTAGATGCTGTAGAACACACAAGATTTTACAAATCAAAGACAAAGGGAACACGATTAGCTTCAGCATGTGTCAGTTCTTACCCACCCAAGCACCATGTAAATAAAGAGCTCAGATGAATGCTGCTCCCCTAAGTGGTCAGGGCCTACGACACTCAACTTGGAAATGTTTCCACTCTATAGAAAGGAATAAAGTAAGCCTGGAGGTGGTGGCTCACGCTTTTAATCCCAGCACTTGGGAGGCAGAGGCAGGAGGATCTCCGAGTTCGAGGCCAGCCTGGTCTACAGAGTGAGTTCCAGGACAGCCAAGGCTACATATGGAAACTCTGTCTCCAAAACCAAAATCAAAACCAAACCAAAACAAAAGATGCTCACCACCTACCTACCTACCAAGGAAACCCCTACCAGAGCCCAAAGCCCAATAAACCACAACTCCCAGAAGGCTTTGTTCCCGGATGCGTCATGCACCCCACCCCCCCTCCCCCGAACTACATCTCCCAGGAAGCCCCACAGCGCCTAACCGTCCGCTTCCCCCGCCCCTGCTCCCCTTTCCCCCTGCAGCGCGGTGGCCATCTAGCTCCAGCGGTCGGCGGAGCGGGCGCGCGCCGGGGTCGCGCGGCTGCCGAAGGGGGGCGGGCGCGCGCAGGAGGAGTAGAGGCGTAGGGGGGCGGGGGACGGCTCGCTTGCTCGCAAGATGGCGGACGAGGACGGGGAAGGGATTCACCCCTCAGCCCCTCACCGGAATGGAGGCGGCGGCGGGGGGTCTGGGCTCCACTGCGCCGGGAACGGCGGCGGGGGAGGCGGCGGCCCGCGGGTCGTGCGCATCGTCAAGTCCGAGTCGGGCTACGGCTTCAACGTGCGGGGCCAAGTGAGCGAGGGCGGGCAACTGCGGAGCATCAACGGGGAGCTGTACGCGCCGCTGCAGCATGTGAGCGCCGTGCTGCCCGGGGGGGCGGCCGACCGCGCCGGGGTGCGCAAGGGGGACCGCATCCTGGAGGTGTGAGTATCGCGGCCGCCACGCCCCGTCCCCTTACCCTTCGCCTGTCCTGGGCCCCCACCCTGTCACTCAGGCCTCACCTCCCCCAGCTCGCGAGCCTGCCGCGACCCTCGCCCCCCGGCGGGCCTTCGCGGCTCGCCTTGGAGTCTTCTGCCTTCCTGGCGTCTCCAGTTTGTGCCCTTGCCCCACCATCCCAGAGCTCTCCCCGCCGTCCCCATGCCTTTGGCTGTCCTCAACCTCTGCCTTTTCCTATGGCATGCTGCTTTCTGCTCCTTACTGACGGAGTCTCCCTTTCGACCCAGCCAGTACTGTGTTCTCCCCAAGTTCTCATCTTTAGCATCATAGTTTCCTGGTCTCTGCCACTCCCCTCAGACCCTGTGGACTGTCCCTTCTGCCCTCTAGACCCGTTAGGACCTGTGGTCAGCTCCTTTTTCTCTGGAGGCATCTTCTCTTCCCCTCCCCTAGCCTCCCCCCCCTTCTTTCCTTCGTTACTCCCCCGTTATGGTAAAGCACACCGACATTTTTGTATCCACCGCTTGGCCTTTTCTCCCTGCTTCTTTGTAGTCACACAATCTCGAGTATACCTTATCATCCTCATCGCATGCGTTTTTTGGGGGGAGGGGTTGACACTAGTTTTTCTTCTGATCCTGATATTATTGCAGCCCGATTTTCAGCCTGGTTTCTCCATGGCCACATTCCTCTGAGTGCGCACCTTTTCTGCCTCCCTGTCTTCCCACGTGCACCGCTCCTTACACTTTCGAGTGCCGTTTGTGGTAGTGCTTTCCTAGTTCCGACTTCCCTCTGAACTGCAATCGCCTTGGGTCTTTGCCTTCTCCATTTTCCTCCTGGTCTGTGCTGTTGCAATCCTACCCTTTATCTTATTTGTTCCTCTAGATCGTTTTCCCTTCTCTTCCTAAGGCCCCTTCTGCTCTTTGAACCCACCTTCTCCTGAAGTGTCTTCCTTCATCACCACATTCCTTCAAGCTCCCAGGATGTTGCCTTGTCTTGGCAGTTTGAGTGCACACTTCCACCGCCCTGACTTGTGTTTGTGATTTTGTACTTGTACTAAACCTGTCCAGTGGTTGTTGGTTGACTTGTAGGTGCTGTGTGCACTCATTGTCTCCATTCTCCAACCCCGTACTTCTCTCCTTACTGCATCTATATTGCGTCTCAGTCCCCCCCCCCCCCCCGGCCCCCCCCCCAAACTCAGGGGCTCTCTCCTTCCATGATGGGATTTTCCCACATCAGTCTTTCTTTTTATCATTTCATTTTAATTATAATTTCCACAGCTGCCTGTTTTCATTTTTGTAAAACAGCTTGGCCCACGGTCTGTACTTATCTTGAGAGTCTGTCTGTCCTTGCAGAGAAGGCATTCCCTTTTTCCCCATTTTTGTGCCCATTACTCTTACTCTGGGGAATCATTCATTCTGCTTCCTCATCTTTGCACTCCAAGAAAGAGTAGCTCATTAATACATGTGTTTGGAGATTTTGTGCATTTCCTCTGACCTTTCTGGAAATAGATGCTTACTTTTTATTACTATATTACTATTTTCTAATATTCTCTGGCAGTATATTCTTAGTCTTTGTGGGGAGCATTAAGATGTTGAATACAATAATGACTTTTTGATGCCTTGCTCCTGAGTACCTAAGTATTTATTTTCTAGATATCTCAAAATCTGTGGCTGATGGTTTCTTTTGTTAGAAACTTTTAGAATTATCTTTCTTTCTCTTTGGAAATTTAACTCGATTCAGCGTTTTAATTTTAGATTTAAAATATTATATAAAGTTATAAGTGTATTAAAGTTCTAGGTCATTTGCTCTGTAGAATCCAAAGCAATGAAACTACAGCTAATGTCGTCTCCTGTGAGTGTATAAGCCAGCAGCCATAGTTGCCTTTACTGTAGTCTGCAGCCGAGAGCCCAGCTGCGACCTAGTCATTGTAGAGAACGGATGAGTGGTCCTGTGGATCCCCGTGAGAGGGGTTTGCCTTAGGCCTACATTATAGGCTGGGAGCCTAGGAAGTAGAAGCTGCATTTTTGGTACTGTCCTTGGTGAGAGTAGTTTTTGTCATTTTTAGGTGGCAGGGGAAAGAAACACTGCCTAGAACAGTTCTCTCTGGAAGGTTGGTGCTGATAGAAAATCTTCATGGTATTTGCTTTTGTACCCTGCCAGCTGTTTGTGTTCTGATGTCCAAATTCTTTGAAATTTCTATGGTACTGTTGTAGAAGTAGTGGTAGTAACAATTCTAAGCTAGTTGATAACTTCTGAGACCAGTATCTCCCCCTTCCCTCTCTCCCTCCCTTCCTCCCTCCACTTAGATTTTCAATTAAGAGGAGAAAAATGAGCTACCAACTTAACTTTAGAGATCTATTTATTTATTTGAGGCAGGATGTCACGTAGCCCAGGCTGGCCTCAAACTCACTATATAGGAAGACCTTGAACTTTTGGTCGTCCTAACTGCACCTCCTGAGTGCTGGGATTACAGGGGGGTGCCACTTCATTGGGTTTACGTGGTGCTGGGGATGGAACCCAGGGATGTAGGCTTCGGGCTTGCTAGGCAAGCACTCTGCTAATCTACTCTGTTTATTCCCAGCCTGAGCTTTTCAATCTGTGTTCTCACTCAGGTTCTTAAGTTTACCTCTCGGTTGTCCTAGGGAAACTTTTCCTGTTGACGAAATACTGAGTGCTGGGGTCTGAGTTAAGCATAGGTGGACTGTTACTATGTAGCTTTATGATTGTACACCAAGTCACAGGCGGGTGTCTGGACCTTGATAATTGAGGTTTGAGATTTCTCCCTATTTTTAAACTCTTTTCCCTATGTACAGCTTTTACTCCAGTTTAATGTTGCAGTTTGGACAACGGGGAGAGGTGTGAAAGAACAGTAACAGATTTAAGTGCATACAGACTTGGACGTTAGCAAGGGATCCATTTCTTTGTGCTGCTCCTAGAGTCTGCTTACCAAGGCTCATTGAATCTCGGGATAATTGTCAATTGGAGCCAGGATTGGCTCACTTTCTCCTTTTTCCTTTTGAGGCTGACTAGATTGTGACTGGTTTGAGAGAGAGTCTTGCAGGGCTTGGTACTACAGTGTGAAGAAGCCCTCTGGGCTCTAAATTTTACTACAGATGGAAAGTTTTCTTGACTAACAATGTTAGCTCCACCTTATAATTTTTTTCTGGTGTAATGTGTACTGTATGTCTTCCCTTTGATGTGCATATACCTCGAGGCCAGTGTGTGGTGTGGAAGATGCTTTCAATAAATAGAACCAAAGTCAATCTATGTTTGCACTAATTATATAGTATGGGAAGTAACTGACCAGGTTAATTCTGTAAGGTTAAAATAGGTCGAGGACACTTGTTGATTCTTGAGAGTTGCATTAGGAGAGTTGCCGTGTGTAGTGGATATGGATATGGAACTGCCTACATTTTTTGAGATTATGTTTGTTGGCTTTTTTTGGCTCAGTACTGGGATCTTTGTGTGTGCACACACACAAATGCACAAGACACACTTTGAGGAGTTCTGTAAGTTGGGCCAAATTTTCCTGTCTCTACCTCCTATCTCCCCATGGGGTGGCTGGGGTTACATTACAGACATTTTCACCAGTGCATCCAACTTTGAGGTGGGTTCCAGGAATCTGACTCAGGTGGTCAGTCTTGCACAGCATACACTTTTACCCTCCAAAACTGCTCTGGGGAGTGTGAATTTCCAGCATGGACCCTTAGAGTTGGCTTGTAAGCATTCAAAATCATGATGTGTCTATGCTATTCAGAGAGTATATGCTTTCCTCTGATAACATACCCATTAGCTTTTCCTTGTTAAGGTTAAAGCATAAGATAAATTATGTTGTCTGTGACAGTTTGTTTATTGAGGGTTATTTTTTTGTTTCATTTCATGTGAATGTTTGAAAATCATTGAACAAAGAGTTTGATGCAGTAGGTATTTTTACAGTTGAGTGAGTCATGAGACATTGACTGTTAAGTATCTTAAGAGCCTTTAAAAAAATTGACTGATTTCTTTTTGGCTCAGATTATCCAGGTAGACTTGAATAATAGTGCTTGAAATGATTGTTGAGCAACTTTGGTATGCACAAGAATCACTTGGGGTGCGGGTCAGAAACACAGGTTTGCAGGTACACTGATGGCTGTGATTCAGTGTGTCCTGCATAAGGCTAGAATTTGTTGTCACTCCTTTGCCTGGTATAGAGAATGTAACTCACATGCTAAGCCACATTCTCAGAACAACGCAGTAGTTCTGGACTGTTCTAGACTATTCTTAGCTAGTTGTGCGTTATCATTATGGCTACACTGGAAGTCACTAGCTAGGACTTGGCTAACAAATAGTGATTTATTAAGCGCCTGAACTCCAGACTAAGGGGAAGTCAGTTCCTCACCCAGTAGTCTGTCCAGTTGTACCTACTTTTGTGGACCTGGCTGACGTCCAGCAGCAAAGGTGTACAGTTAAGAGACAGAACAAATGATAACAATCATTGTGTCATCTTGCAGTATCTGTGCTGTGTTGCAGTTTGCAGTGCAGTGCGTATGCATTTAACTGTAGGACAGCCTCTTGTAGGGAGGTGTAAAGCTCAGGGCGGGGACCGTGTTAACTGTTAGGTTTATTGAATCCCTAGCCAAATGTGTGATGGTACCTAGGTTTTCTTCAGTGAATATTTGCTGAATGGATAGGAGTGAAATTATCCCTGTTTTGTGAGGAGAAAGGAGTGCCTCATTGAGTGACAACCAGAATGGAATCCAGGTGTTAAGATGCTTTCCCATTTTTAAAATTTGATTTGCTTGTTGACTGTTAATAGTCAACTTCCTTAATTGTTATTCTTTGAAAATTTTACAGATCTATACAATGTATCTTGATCATATCTACCCCAACTCCTCCATCCATCCCTACGTAGGATCCCCCATGACATCTTCCCAACTTCCTCCTTCTATAATTAATTAATTAGATAATTTTTTAAAAAAATTATTTTTTATTTTATATGCATTGGTATTTC